GAAACTGGGGGGAAGGGAAACAAACTTTCATAATTCCAGTTATAAGACAGTGTTCAAGGATTGCAGAAATACATCCTTCCTTCTGAAAAATAACACTTTGTAGTTTTCCAGGAGCTACGGTTAGTAGGTCAGACGGTATTAGCAACCTCCAGGATCCTGGCGTACTCTACCTGTGAGAAGAAAACACTTTATATGCTACTAGATCCTACCCATGGAACAGAAACAGCCTACTGGTTGTCTGCCACTGGTTTTAAGTCACTTTGAGGTATAAAACAGTCCAGTAAAGAATGCTTGACTACAGAAGGGGGTATGAGCAGTGCTTTCATTTCACATGTGTAGGGACACCTGGATGGCAGATGTGCCGGATGGGTGGATGCTGGATTCAGATGAGATTTACCTCTCTGCTCGCCTGCCTCTCCAGCCATCTGTGCATCACTGCAGTCCCATCTCCTACCCTGGCTCCTGCTGCATCCAGGAGTTCCTAACTGATAGGTTTGGGTTTCTTCTCCTATGCGTGTTGAGCCCTAAGAGCTTCATTATGTAATTATCAGGACTTCTTACCACCCTAGCTATTGCTTCTGCCATTAACACGAATGGACCTTAGCAAGACCTAAAAGCTGTATTTGGTATTTGTGCACTGTTTACGATGTAAATAGTAGTGCAGTTCAAACTGGAGGGAAACAGTGAAGGAGGCATCTTTAAGGCATCTCTGGTTAGAACAAGTCCAGTATCCAGGACGATAAAGAGCGTCTGTGATCACTTTGTAGTAACAACTCTGGCAGCCCAGGAAAAGCCTTTGTAAGACCATGTAGTTCTCCCTGAGAAAGGCTGCTCTTAAATTAAGAAAGGTCCTGCATCTTGTCAGCAGCTTCTTGCCCCTCTTTGGGATGCACAACACCATCTGAGTATCTGTGAGCTGCTGGGGCAAGAACAACCTAAATTATTTTTGGAGTCTCGATAATGTGCTGATCTTTTCCTTTTTGAAAAGTAGACTGTTAATGGTCTTCATATTTCCTTCTAAATAAACCTCCTGCCAAAAAAAGCAACCATTGCCATCTATTGAGATGGGCAACTTTCAGTATTGCTTCAGAGAGAACATGCCTTCTTGGCACTTATAAAACTATTCATATCTTCAAGCAGGATATTAATAATTTCTTACTTATGTTGAAGTGATGTAAGATGAAAAATTAATGTGGATGTTACTTGCTCTCCCAGATCTTGCAAGCTGGCTGTGCCTCTGATGTGCATGGTCTTAAATGCACTCAACATTTTCTTTTGAGCTCTAGTTTACTTCCAAAGCGAGGAATATAAAACTGACACTGTAAATACCTGTCAAAGCGTTTCAGACTCCTGATGTTTGTTTCAGTGCTATTCTGACTACTCTTTATTATTTTTAGTACAGAAATGGGGAAGTCCTTTAATGTGGTCCAAAACTTTGATTGTAGAAATTCACATAGTGATGTTTATCTTTAGTGACTAAAACATGAGGTGGAAAGATTTCAGCCCTTTTGCACGTTAGGTTTTTTTTATGTGTCTTCAGTTTCTTATTATCCCTTCTGTTCCATCTATCCATACAGCTAGAGAGAGATTAATGTTTCTTCAGGGGAGGTATAAAGCTTTTAGGGGATTGTTGAAACACTTCTAATAAATGGTAAACATGCTAAAGACCTTTTTAAACACTGGCTTGCGACGCCAAGTTGCATTTAAAGGCTTAGTGCTTGGATAGATGGCTTGTTAGGCTGGATTTGGCTTTAGAGGCATTTGTAGAGTCACTTTCTTCCACCATCTTTCTTTCCAGCTTGAAAGAAAAGACTTTATCACTGAGTTTATCATCACTGCTGACTGTAGGAAGGATTATATCTCCAGGGAGAAGTTATTTGGGATTGCTGGGATCTCTGTTTCTTTAGTCTCTCCGCTGCTATTCTTGTCTAGTGGAGAGCAGTATACTGGGATGCTATCTTGGGCAAAAGGGCAAGCGAGGCAGGGAAATGGCCTGTCACAGTTCTGCTGTGGTACTAGATATAGGGCTGGCAGGGCTGTGTGTAAGAAACGCTGCCATGCTTGGGGACTTCGGGAAGTGCTGTTAACCTGCTTTCATAATTAATGTTTGGGGAGAAAGAGAGGGCCCTGTGGAATAAATTAGCATTCACTGAGTGTTCATGCAAACAGATGTAAGCTGAAGTAGAATGCAAGGAGAGCTGCCCACTGACCCATATTTCTTAGTGTCCTGTTCAGTCTGAAATGTTCATGCTCTGACTGCTAAGCCTAAAAAGGAAACAATTCCTGGTTTAAGTGTTTTACCACATATGCTTTTACAGTTTCATAATATACTGTGTAATGCACGCAGTCCATCTTGTCTGGGCTGCCTCCTTCACCATTGTTCTAGGCTGGACCATTGTTGGCTCCCAGCTTGCGTGTGCTCAGCTGAGACTTGGACCAGTGAGGTCTGGGCTTTGCCAGGAAACTTGGTGTTTTGTAAACACTTGGGTTTGCTGTTCTGAGATTTGTTAAATGGTCAGCACTTCTTTGAAAAGCAAATGGAAGCAATCTAATGGAAGCAATCCCATGGAAACAAAAAGCAATAAATGTTTGTGGTCACTTGAAAGGATTCAGAAGTTTATTATTGTTAGTTTCTGCATGGGAAACGGAATAAAAGCTGGAGTCATTGCATGTGTGCTGTGCAGTTGTCGTTTGCTACTTTAATTATGGTCTGACTTTGTTTCCATGCAAATATAAACTGGGATTTTTTTTATGTGAGGAAGGCTCATGCCTTTACGTAGTTGTCAATGTCACCATCAGGAATTCTTTGAAATACCCTATTTTCAGTGATTTAAGTCTCAACTTCTTAAATCTGAGCGTTGTTCTGAGTACAAAATTAAGTAGATAGTTCTTTGGTCATATAAAATCAGATTGTGTAAGGGCGTGAGGTTTAAACCTTGTACATGAGTTTTGGTCTCCCTAAAGCATGTGTTAAGCTGCCGCGTCTGCTGTAGCACCAGGCAGTGGTGGTCAACCCTGAGCCCCAGTGCTCATTGCCAGGTGCTATCTGCAAACAGCTGAGTGCATCTGTGGCAGGGGAAAAAAAACCCAAAAACCAACAAGGAAGAAGAAGGAATCTTGGAATTAAATACTGTTTTTGCAAAATGCCGTGCTTATCTGAAATGAGTATTTCTGATCTATTGACACACAGGCTTCTCAGTCATGTCCCTCACCCACACACGCACTCTTTGCCGTAAATACATTTTGTAGTTAACTGTAGAGATACAGTGTAAGTCTACATGAAGAGCTATGAAGAATGTTTAAACATTACACTGTTTTTCCATTCACAAATGAATGGTGGAGTAAGATTGAGGAGAGATGCAAGTCTATCAGCTATTGTTGACTTCTTACCAGAAAAATAAGAGGGTCTGGAGGAAGGAAATGCTTTTTACTATCTCTAAGGATGTACGTGGAATACAGAGTGCTAAATGGAAACCCTTGTGATTGCCCGGGTGCTCTCCCATCCTTGGAGACTAGCCAGGAGCACCTGATAAGCAGCAGTTTTGCTTCACAGGCTTTGATATCACAGCAGCTGTGGTGTCTCATTCTTGGAAGAGATGTTTTGGCCTGATAAAAATGGGTGTAAGTAACAGACTGCATCTCTTCATGCTTCTCTGGCCTGATGGCAGCTGGGGTACTTACGCTTTCTTGGAACAGCAAGGGCTCTTCATGGAGAGCATAAGAGGGGATGGCTTTCCAGCATCATATGTGGTGGGGTCTTTAATTGACTTCAGCTCTGTGTAGTTTACCTGTCTTTCAGGAGCATTCTGCGCTCATCATCCAGTTTCTGTGACCATGGAGGTGCTGCTTATTTTCAGTTGCAAGAACACTTGAATTTAGCTCAAATGTTGAAAGACACTTTGTGTCCTTTGGTGACATTTAAACTATGTATTCAGGGTTTTCCAGGGTGAGAACTGTTTTCGTGGGTTGTTGCTGCTCTCTCCCTGTACTGTCCTTGCAGGTCCAATTTCAGATATTGCTTCTCCCACTGCCAGGAGGGGGCTGAAGGAAATGGGGTTTTAACTCCTGCGAAGACAAAAGTCTTCCTGGTGTGCGCTGAAGCTTGCTCCCTTCTTTTTCATTTTCCTTTCAACAGAAGTTGAAATAACTCTTACACAAATGGAAGAGAAGGATTTAACACAGTTGTATCAAGGCTGTAATTCAAAGTGAGCAGGTAGTTGTAATCCACTAACATTACGTGATTAGTGTTGGCTGTTACACAAAACCAGCTGTAGTTAAAATGAAACAAATGCTTTCGCATTTATTGTGAATGAGGTAACCAGTTTTTAAAGCTTGATGGATTCCTGAGTTATTCTTTAGAGTGTTCTCTCTCTGACAGTTCCAGCCTTTATGCATCTTATTTGCCTTTCTGCATATACTTACTCTGAGTTAAATCTTTTAATTAAAAGCCTGTCAGTTAAACTGTTAATTAAAAAAGGAGATGATGAAAAAAATCTTTAGCCTCTTGAAACTCTCATATTAACAGACTGTCTCATTTATTGAGCAGGGAGTATTGCTGGCAGCATAGAGCAGAGATCCAGATGCAGTGTGGTCTCACTGCACCCTGCTGTTGCGATTACGGATGTCTCGCTGTACCACTGCTTTGGCTGTGGCCTTTGGCAGATGTCTGTGTTGAGTGTGAGTCTCCCAGCCAGGCACACACAGCGCAGCTGGAGGGATGAGGAGTTACCAAGGAGCTTGGGCAGAAGCTGTGGGGTGCTCAGGAGTAAAGGTGAAATAAGCAAGCAGGAGGAGGTATCCCCTCAGTTTTTCAAAGAGGTCAAACCAGCTTGGAGCCCAGAGGAAGGGAGTCAATGCCTTGAAGAGGATGGAAAAAGATCAGGATTGCCCAGAAGTGAACTTTAGCTCAGGAGATCCTAAACAGAACAACCAAGGGGCACATCAGTAATTTTGTGCTATTGCCTTTTTTTGATTCCCCTTCCTCTTTCTCCCCTCAACAGTTGCTCTCGGTCGTAATCAGCCCTTGAAAAAAGAGAAACCAAAATGGAAAAGTGATTACCCCATGACGGACGGACAGTTGCGCAGCAAGAGAGACGAGTTCTGGGACACAGCGCCAGCTTTCGAAGGTCGCAAGGAGATTTGGGATGCCCTCAAGGCTGCTGCACATGCTTTCGAGAGCAATGATCACGAACTGGCACAAGCAATCATTGATGGTGCAAACATAACACTACCACATGGTAGGTTCATCTAAGATGGATGTGGCCTGTGAGAAGTGTTAACAGTAGGTTAAGGCAAATGTGGTTTTAACCTGAAAATCATTGAGAAATGCATGCAGTCAGATAACAAACTTGTTTCTGACATGTTTAAAAGACGTTCTGTGTGTGCTGACTCAGGTCTCCTGGGAAGCAAAAAAAGGACGATTTGGAAGATCATGTACCTTGTTTTCTGGGGTAACTAGTCTTTATGAACTTGACTACTCACATTGCCTATTGTTTCTTTTTATATTGGTGGTGTCTAGAACATCACTTTCTTGAAGTCACAGTTGATGTATTTATCTTGAAAAGGGTGGATTTGGGGATCTCTGTTCTTTTCCAGTACTAAAGTGTGAAACACTGCTGGCAATTGTGGCTTAACATGTTCTTTTCCCCACTCCGGTTGAGCAGTAAGGATCTCTGAAATGTCACTGAGATGTGGAAACTTCCAGTGCTGCAACACAACCTGGCTTTTCCATAATTCATGGGCAACCTATTGTGATCCTCTAGATCATTGTTTGTTTTCAAGGAGGCTTGTGTTTTGATGGTTTGATTGATAATGAGGGAGTTTTTGTCAAGGGCAGTTGTTTCTGTAGTAGCTGTAGATCTAAAGAGGAGTTTGTCAGTTATTTTCAGAACCTGCCAATGTCAAGGAGATCTCGGGTCTCTTCTTTGACAGACCTGTTGGAGGCCTGTACACATTCTAGGCTAAATCCATTGGAGCAAATAAAATAATGTCCCTGCTATGAGTTAGTGTGGTTATGGAATTGGGCAAGACACTGGTAATGAGCTATTTTGATGGCATTATGTGTGCGGTGTACATATGAACAGTGCTTCCAAGGAGAACGTTAAACTTACGGCATCAAGTCATGCAGAGAAGTTGTTTGACATGTCAGGTCTCTGCTTCTACTCATTTGATTGGCAAAACAACTGGTAATTGTGGAGGAGAATTCTATTCAGGTGGGAAAATTAAAGCAGTTCAAGCCTGCTTGGGAGTTTGTCTGCCCCAGTCTCTTTGGGTTCTGAGGTGAAGTCACTTGTGTGTCAGTGTTCCTCACAAGAAGGGAAGGATGGAGGACAGCACTCCCAAATTTTGAAAATAATGTTCCTTAGTTTCTTGAATAACTGATTATTTGTAAGTGTATTTCAGTCCCAGCAGTTTCTGGCTTCAAGCAAAAATCTGAAACTGGGCAGAGAACTCGCATTTCTTCTCTTTGAACAGCCTGAGGAATGCAGGATGGATGCCGTGCTCTGGAAATTAGCCTTTTAATGTAATTGAATGTAATACTTAAGGGGAAAGAAGTATGTAGACTCTTAAATTTGTTTTTTCAGCAGGCAATTTGCTTGGGGTCCTGCCTGCTGCTGGCAGACTGCAGCCTTCTTTCTAAGGCCCACATGCAGAATATTGAGACTATTTCAGAAGTGAGTGGGGAAATCAAACTTGTATCAGAGGCTCTGTTGGCCAAGCCACTCCTGGCCTGAGGCAGGATTCCAATATAGAGAATATTTGGAGTATTCATCCAGAATCTCAAGTTTAGTAGTGATTATTGTACCCACAAAATTGCATTACTTGCCTTTTCTTCAACTTTCCGCTGGTGACATTTGTCTTGTGCATCAGCTGCTTGCATAGTTTCCTATGTAATGTGACCTTCCCACTGTGGAGAAAGGTACTTCTTTCAGAAATTCAAGTATTTCTTAGCCATCAAGCATTGTTAGTGCCATGTATGAACAGATTATGAATCAAAGCCTTCCATTATGGGGTTCAGTCATGCCTGTTCTCAGCAAACTGAGCTTATCTCCAGGCAGGTAGAACAAGCAAACTGTCCTTGTTCGGAGTGACACCAAAACCTCCATGGTTTTGATTACAAAAACCTCATTTTGTGGAAAATTTAAAAAGGAGGGAAAATAGCTGTTAAGAAATCTAGCTGCTGCAAATGCAGTAACTGTCCAGTCCTGTGCTTACCCGACTTAACGCTTCTGTCTAGATTCACCCATGTAACTTGCTGAGCAATGCTGTACCCCACGGGGGATGATCGTTCCTCCCACCCTGCCCTTGGCTTTATGTGGGGACCTGGAGCATGGCAGGGGCCTGTGTCATCTCTGAAATTCATCTTTTGTACCTGTTTTGTCTGTAGCTGTTAACCTGGCAGCAACTGCACATCCAGGTCAGGCTGTGTCTTCTGTAGCAAAGTTAGGATGAGAATCAAAATGCTTGCAGAGGCTCCTGAAATGGTACCTGAGTGTCTGTGAGCAGTTTTGTGTTCTGCTCCACCAGAAACCCTGGCAGAAATTGCTCGGAAGCGCTGGAGTGCCTCCGTGGAGTTTAGGCTTTGGTTCTGCAAATGGGAGGAAAAAGGAATATCTGCTGCTCAGGTTGCGCATGAAAATACTCTATTTCCCCAGAGAAAGCAGCCAGTTAGGAAGATGGCCTGGAGAAGCTAAGTCAGTAGTGTTTTTTTCTAAGTAAATAATCTGACAGTGTAGCTGTAGCATTTTTGTACGTGAAAACTTGTATTTGTGATGGGACAGACAAGGATTGGAATCTTCCTTTGATTTCTTAGCCCACCAAAGAATTGTGATTCCTAAGGAAAACCAACATCAGCTAAGATAAATTCCATTAACTCTACTGAAAAAAAACAGAAAATTTAAACTAATTTTTTCCTCTCCCAAAGGAAAAGATCTTCTGCAAAATGATGCAATAGTAGGAGAGTATGGCACTTCTTCTCATTTATTTTCTCTGTGCAGAACTGAGGCTTTAAAAGCGCAAACCATAACCGTACATCTACATTTTAACTGTCCCTGTGTGCTAAACACATTTGTATGCGTTCAAGCCATGTATTACTTACAGAATTAAACCATGCGGGAAGTGGAGGAGTGGGAAGAGGGGATGAGGGAATGAGTAAGGATTGACAGAGGTTTGCAGATACAGATTCTGGCCTAGCTGATGCTGCAAAAATAAAATTGCCTTTTTATTCCAGAAACCTATATGAAAGGGAGGAAAAAAACACATCTGTTAACACCGTGTTCAGCCAGGTCTCTCACTTACTTAACCGGTGTGAGGAAGGCTCTAACCAATGTAATTCTTCTAATGGATGCCTTTTGCTGTCTTCTGCGGTTAAAAATAGCACATAAGAAGCATTAAATAAATAAATAAGCTTGTGGGATGAGCTTAGCACTTCTCATCTATCTTGGGTGCCTCCGTGGGATGTGTGTTAAAAATAGAAATAACGTTATCGCCAATTTATACTTTTTTTTCTGATGTCTTAAAGTAGCACATCCTCAATATTTTATTAATGAGTCCATTTAAATTTAATGAAGAGCAGTTTTACATACTTATTAGCTATCGAAAAGGAAATGTTGGAGTGTGTAGTATTTTATTAGGGTCTGCAACAACTGTTAGTATTGAGCTGAACTTGCCCTGAAAGTAGCTAGTATTAATTGGAATCTGTCTGGGGCTAAGTGGAGTTTTTAGATTTCAGGATAGAGATTTAATTTTCCTGTAGCAGAGTTACCAGTATATTGGATTTAACTCCTTTAATGCCGTTTGAATGATAAAAGGGCCTCTCTGTTAAGCAGTGGGTTTGTGCTGGAGAGCAGTCAACTTCTCTGTGCCTTAAAATACAGCTCGTGTAGCTCGCAGCATGCTTTTTCAGTGAGTAGTCTTGCAGAGCTGGCTCTTTGTATGCAAGCAGAACTGTCACATTTACTGCATATAATACTTGAGATCATGAAAAGCAGGGCTGTATTTAACTTAAATGCTGGAGAAAAGTAGGTGAAATTACTGAAATGTTCTTTTCTGTGAATAGAGCATTTTCTTCCCCTTTGGGTGAAATATTCAACAGAAAACCATAAAAAAATAACCCCAAACCAAAGCCAACAGCAGTGGTATAGAGGAAAAGCATGCTTCACCTCCCCTGTTTATCCCACTCCAGTCCAAACACAACTCCCCGGTTCCAGCAATACTCTTTTTCCCTCTTGAGCTATAGCTTTGTATCACACTGTGAGATTTGCTGCCTTCAGGCCTGATGTTTCCCTGCACTTAAAGAGCAGCTTTGCAGGCTGCGCCTGCAGTCGTTCATCCCTCTGCACTGCCTCCCCTTTGTGTGCACTGGGGTTTGGGAGGCTACTGCTGTCTGAAAGGACATGTTACATCACGTCAGGTATCTGCCATCCTATAGTGCTCAGCTGCATTGCAGTACAGCACTGGGGTTCAAAGGCTGCAAGGATGCATGTGTTCCTTACTGGTCAGATTTGGGATTGGGTTTTTTTGTTCTGTTTAGTTTCATTTTAGTACTTAGTATTATGTGAGCATTTTCAGTTGTACTCAGTAAAGTGACCCTTTGCTGTGCTGAAAAGTCCATTTTTCTCTGTAAATGAAGGATTTCACGTGGTTGCTCAAGACCTTGGGAGTGCAAGGTAACAAGGAGAGAAGGTGACAGCTAAAGCTGATGGAACAGTATGATTATGGGTGAACAGGACAGCAGCCCATAGCATGGGTGTGTTTGGCAAGTTGTCAGTGTTGCTTTTAGCACTGATTGCATTCATTGTGTGAGAAGTCCCAAGGAGGTGTATATACTACTTAAGTAAATCACTATAAGCACTGTAAAAGTTCTGCTGCCTGCTGCAGCTGGTATTTCACCTTCTCTTGTTGGTCCCCAGGAAGAATTATTCAAGTTTTTGGGGAAACAAAAGGAGTGCCTGTGCCCAGAAGTGTTTCATAGGCACGTGGGTTATTGATGGTGGGCATCAGTGTGCTGCTTTGCTGCCTAGTGCTGGCAGACTGTTCATGGTACCTTTATTACAATGGTGGTTTATTAACTTTGTTCAGTGGATGCTGTTACTTAGTTTCCATCCATACTGAGATTGTTCCAATGTTTATGGAAAATTCAGGCTGACAGGTTTTGCCTTTCTCTAACTTACTTTCTGCAGTAGTTTCATGGCAAGTTTAAATACCAAGATTGTGCTGGTGCGCAGGATTTGCCTAA